TATATGCAGGCTGTGTGGTTCCAGTGACTAACAGAACGAGTATAAGGCCAGACACCTGTCAACACGCATCAACCGAAAAGAACAGCGCGTGTACGGACATTCTGCTGATGCGTGATTGGCACGTACCTGCTTCTGATCGCTCTGTTAGTCACTGCAACCACAACCTGCATATATGTACAGTCGACCCCAAAAATTTGCGGACCGTGCGAGTGCGTGGCCAAAAGCCTCTTCGCGACATTTGCGCTACGTCAGCGGCGATCGACAGTACCCAGCGCCCGAGTCGCATCCCTCCCTTTATCTATGGCCTGTTTGCTTTCTGACTGGGTACAAGTAATTTTCAACCCTTGTGACGGTTATGCGGACTTCCAGCATGTCCTGTGGCGCTGTGCCTTTGCCGGTCCCCCTTTTCAACAAGAGGAAATGAGCAGGCTGATTAAGGCCCAGGGCTTCACGTCTCAAATCCTGGCCGTCCAGAGGGCTTGCGTGGGCGGTCAGGTTTAATCTAACCGTCCCCGAGTAGGCCTAGCCAGGTGACGCTGAGTTAACTAGCGTATATTGTGGACTTCAAGTTATTTAATTCACTCACTCACTCACTCACTCACTCACACACTCACCTTTCCCCTTTTAACGCGACGTACTTTTAGCACATGTTTCTCCACGCTTCTACCTCGAGAGCAGTTTATGAGCATACCTGTTATCAGTCGCAATATTCGTCACAAAGAGATACCAAGCCAAGCGCAGGCCGTTCGAGGCACGCCGTGATAGCGTTCACCTCGCTATGAAAAATCTGACGGTCATATGTTGAACATAAGCGCTTCGCGTGAAAACTGCGAACTTACAATGCGCTTCGCGGCAGTAGAAAATTAAAAGGGCCAATGAATAACAGAAGAGCCGTTTCCGGCCTAGAACTGCGGTCGACGGTAGATGGCGCTCTGCTAGGTGGCACGGACGGCGCTCTGCATAGGGTTCAGCATGCGTTCACGTAGTCCGCAAGCTTTTGTGGTTGACTTTCCTTTTTTTTTCCTCATCGCTTGTGTTACTTCAATGCTACAACGTTTCTGATGGCAACATTATAACACGGAGATTAATTTGTTTTGGTGTAATAACGACGTTGCTGGAACATTGTTGACCTTTGTGCACCGATAACGAATTAACCGACCGGCGATGTCGATATAACACTCATAACAATGACGTGACATAACAAAGTTGATGTCCCACCATGTTGGTGCTCAAACGGGGCTGTTTCAGTACCATCAGGGCAAACCATCTATCCTTCAGAAGTAATCTTGCCGTTTGCATCTCTCACTTCAAACGAAGTGCGTTTAGACTGAACCAGTATCACCATCCTTACCTTTTCATGTCGAACCAGAGTGCCAATTTCTTTCGGCTCACGTCCAGCCTAGACTATTTTAAACGCAAATATACATTCGAAATTTCGCATGCTCATCGTCGGATGCGCTAACGCACCCGGAAATCTCAAGGAGAAAGTGGCGCTGGCAGTCAAAATTTGCAAATGAGCTACACATGCTGCTCACGGCTTTTCAATGGAAGACAAGTGGTGAAAGCCTCGCCACTACTGTACGACAGGCGTGGGTTCATTAAGGAAGTTATATATCTTATCTTCTGCGCTGTTTCATTGATACCTTATTATCTCCACGCGGTTGATGTTCGAGCCCTAAGGGGCAGTCGAATATGTGTACTTCGTGTCACTGATAGTTTCGGAATGGTACGTGGTTTGAAAGATGCAGCTGTTTAAGCTTATAGCTCTGCCGATTCGCGGGCCTGGCTGAAAGCGGCTATCGGCCAAGCAGCTCCTTGTTTGGTATGTGGGGTTTAACATCCTAAAACCAACATGCGACTATCAAAGACGCCGTATAGTGGAGGGCAAGACTGAAAGTTGGGCTAGTTGTGATACATTATGGGCAGAAACAGCGCACCAACTCACGGGATGAAGAGAAGAGACACAAACAAGCGCTTACTCTCAACTGAAGAATTTATTGAAATATACAAGTTATCTGAACACATAAGATAAAACGCATAGAACGACGGCCTTCTGTGCATGCTCTATGCGTTTTTATCTTATGTGTTCAGATAACTTGTATATTTCAATAAATTCTTCAGTGAGAGTCAGCGCTTGTTTATGTCTCTTCTCTTCGTCCCGTGAGTTTGTGCGCTGTTTCTGCCCTTGATAGTGGAGGGCAACTGAAATATCGACCACCTGGGGTTCTTTAACGTGCACCCAAATCTGAGCACGCGGGTCTACAGTGTGCCCCATAGAAATTGCAGCCGCCGCAGCCGGGATTCAATCCCGCGACTTGCGGGTCAGCAGCTGGGTACCTTAGCCAATAGACCACCAAACGGGGCCTCTGCGACAACGACAGGCCTCTGCGGAAGTCATCCGGGAGATTTTGAGGGAGGAGCTTCGGCAGCTTGGTTTAATTCCAGCAACTGAACCGACGCCGGCCATTGTCTTTTGTCGCTGATGTTGTCCAGGATGAGGGGCGGCCATGCCATTATAGCAGCATAGTTTAGCCACGTACAGTACTGTATGGTAAGATAGTAGATAAATATACTATATAAAAAGTGGCCTTCGGAGCCTTTTTGCGGCCCAGTAAGAACGGGTTTGACCAACTACTCGACGGCAGACCCATGCTCGCTTTTATTACTTTTTTGATACACATAATAGCCGCCTCAAGTGGATAGTGATTACCCAAGCTTGGCATCAGTTTTTTTTGCAATGAGTAACATTTATTGATTTGAGCAATTTTACATATTCGTTCTACATCATGTCCCGCTGAGGACGTTTATTGTGTTACGACAGAAAACAGTAAAGTGTGACTAGAAAATGCTGTCTTTCTGCATTTGTTTTGCGCAGAAAGGCACATTCATGTGGTTTAGATCTACTGTACATTGTATTCCTTCTGTGGAAGCATGGTGTGTAGCGTAGTGGTAAAGACACTCGCTATCGAAGCATAAGGGTGCGGGTTTCAAATGCCAGCGTCGGAAAGGCAAAAAAATATTTGATTTATGCTGGAGACATTCGGGTCTGACCAGCCACTCGTGGCGCTGAAAGCAGCGCAGTTGCTTGGCCGCAGGGCCTTACGGGAGTGTCCACCCTTTATGTAAGTATGTTTCTATGTGGTAAAAAGGCGGAAAACGGGAGCGAGGGAGAGGATCAGGAAAAGGAGAGAGAGGGTAGAACCAGGGGGCGGAAACTCGCATGCTGATACGCAGTGGCAGCGCCGCCTTTATTGCTGGCGGCTGCCACGCACCCTACTGGAAATGAATCGCGAACATAACATTTCTTTCATGACGTCACTATTGAGGTTATCAAATAAAGGGAAATGATGAAAGAACCGGGGGGAGGAGGAGGGTTGCCACGGAAGCTCTGCATCTCCGCTTCGCATGTAAGCGGAATGCGCTAGTAGCTTCTTTCGGGTCCACAGGCGGCTTGGGTCATGCGGCCATTTGTAAGATTTTGTTTGTAACAAGACAAATCTATTTTTTTTTGCATGGAAACATCTGCGATATGCTTCGCTGTCAGTGAACAATACTCTGCTCCGTACTCACTCGTGAATCGTTTTCACCTGTGCTAGTTGTCAATGTGTGCCTTTCGGTTCCACGTAACCCTTGAACGCTCAGCTATGGCGTTCCGAAGTCTACTTTGGCGTTGTGCTGGTCGTATCGACGCGCTTAAAACAAACGGATGAAAGATTTACACGGGGAAACAGCAAGAACACAACACGGGCGCTATGACAGCCGTAGACCTATGCATATCTTGGCTTCTTTCGCCTTCTTCTGTTTAGAAAGAATGGCTACAGTATAAAGAACCATGCCGAGGCACCCTCGTAATTTCATATACACCCCGTACTCAATGAAAAGAAGGCCATTTCCCGGTTCTGCCTAAAAAAGAACACAAAAGACAAATATTGTCACTTTCCGCGTCTTGTTCGCGCAACGCCATCTCTTGGGTGCCCTTAGTAGTTCCATGCGTAGCCGCTGCTTACCTTTCGTACCGTTGTCAAGGATACTTTCTTTTCTCTAAACTGGTTCTCTAAATTATGGCGTGGCCGGCGTCGCGCCGCTTGCACGACTCACCGGATCCACGAGAGCTTTATCCAAGAGAGCCTATAGCAGTGCCTCTAGCGGGAGCAATGAAACTAGTGTACACACCGTCAACAACGGACAAGGCGGGAGCATAAGAAGCTTGACGAGTAAGCCCTTAAAACTCCGCAATTTGAGGGCAGTCTAGGGCGTCATCAATGCGTGCCAGGGGATAAACTTCCTCCTTGCACATGTGATCTCGTTTGCTTGCCGATAACCCACGCACAATCTTATGGAGCCGTCTTCTATTCTCACGAGGACCACCGGAGAAGAAGCCCAAGGACTGTGTGAGTGCTGGATGACGCCCCATTGAAGGATGTCGTTGAAGTGATAAGTGATGACGCCACGCTCTGCCTGTGAGACACGTTAGGCACGTTGAGCGCATCATGCATGATCCGTGTTGACATGATGAGCGACAAGTGACGTGCGTCCCAGGCAAGGTTGGCCGTGGTCGAAGTCGGGGTGTAAACGGTTAAGTAGTTGAAAAACGCAATTGCACTGGTCTTGCGCAAGTGTGGTATCCACGCTGCGCAAAAGAACGTCTTCGTCAGATAGTGAGGGTGCGGCGGTGGCAGCAACACCGTCCACAGACATGGGCGTCGTATCGGAAGGGGCGTCAAAAGGGAAGACGGCATTGCACAGCGAGCGTGCTAATCGGTACGGCACTTCGTGTTATCAGGAAGGGGACATATTCGTGTTATTAGTTTATTTTCCGGCACCTGGTATCTACAAAGCGTGAGCGGCCGGTGATAACGAGCACATTATCGGCAAATGTCAAGGCAGGAGCAGTGAACGTTATCGCACTCTCGATAACGAAACACAATGGGGGGCCTCTTTCAACCTGTTCAGTGAATGCGTCAACCGAGCTGCGAGAGACCCACCAGATAGCGCTAAGTTCTCGAAAAAAACGCCCCTTCCACGCTTGAGTCGCCGCGTCTGCAGCATTCGTGTCTGTCCTTACACGCACCATGCCAGATCTTGAGAGAGTGCACCGTTTTCGTGAGCACCCCATCGCAGGCGTCAACTGGCGACCGACTCGCTTTGTCGCCGAGGTTCCCAGTTCGCGTGTATGCGGCCTCTGTCGCATGATTCCGAAGAGGATTGTGCTGTTGCCATGCGAGCACACTTTGTGCCAGTCGTGCTACGCAGCAAGTTGGCAAGGTTGCAGCGGGCTGTGTCCCTTGGATCAAGAGCCGTTCGAGGAAGCGGAATGCTCGGACTGTGACTTGCCTACCAGGAAATGGAATGCTTTGAAGGTGAGGCAATCGTTTCGGCTGCTTCTCAGAAAAGGGTATTGCACCTTTCTAATGCGGGGAAATTAGAGGCGCGCGAAGATTGGCATTGACGGGCATGACCAGCCACTTTGTTTTTATTTTTTTGTTTTCCTTTTTATCCTTTTCGTAAGTTCTTCCCCTTTCAGATCGAATAAGTGAAACGGCTCTCATCACCTGTGGCACATACCCGCCTACCGGTGGCACATACCCGCCCGTGGGTATGTGCCAGTGTTTAACAGGAAGTGTTTGACAACGTACGCAGCGGGATTGTGACATTATGCAATTCTCGACTAGCGCGTCATATTCGTGAAACCATCTTACCCTATCATGCTAATTTTCGTTCACGCTAGGTTAGGGGGGTGACCACGAGAGCACGGAAGCGTAAGCGGATAGATAGATAGATAGATAGATAGATAGATAGATAGATAGATAGATAGATAGATAGATAGATAGATAGATACGCTCAAAGTCACCGAAGTTCACTAAGAAATGCTTTGCATTTAAAAAGGAGAAATGAATTGGAGCACAAACAAAGTGTACTTGTTAATTTTGAAAGAATCGGCGCGTACTTTAACCAGTCCGACCGGGTCAAATGCGGTCTAGCGGGAATCACTGATCGAGAGGTAATCGTACCTCTAGTGTATATTTCCTCTAGTGTATATTAGGCAACTCAATGTTGCAGCACACAGAGCCACCTCTTGCGTTCGTGCGTGACGCGGACCGCGTCGAGAGGACACGCCGATGAGTCTGTTGCAGGCCGGATACATGCATTGCCAGTCATAACAAGCCAAACTGCTCGTCCAACCCGTTTAAGGGTACACAATATTGCTCATTGTTCAGCGGAAGCAGCTTGGAAAGCTTATCGGAGAGTACTAGGAGCTCGTTCAAGCTAGAAAATGGTGCCATTGCGGCGGATGATACGGAGAGCTAGCCGCCAACACAAACACCACAGAACTCACGCACTTGACGACTCGCTTTCCATGCCCTTATGATGGCGCTAGCAATACCACGCTCTTTTGTGAAGCGAAACTGACGAAAAGCTCGCCGTCATGTGGCGTATTTATGAAAAGGGTCTATAACACTCATACATCTGTATATTTGGCCCTACCGTGTATTTCCGGTAAGTCTTAACAGCTATACCAAAAAAATTTTCTCATCTATTCTCTATGTACTTGTGATAAAACCTACGAAAATGATTTTCCAAATGATTCTCATATTTCATGCAGTGGAGGGTTAACGAAAATAATAAAGCTCTCAAATTTCCACATGCAGGTTGTCCCGAACCGCTTCAGCAAATTCCCCCATCTATATTCTTGCATGTACTACCTTAAGACAGCCCACTCAATTTTTGCGCCTCTAGGAAGGTTAATATCAGGTTGCACATACTTGCATAGAAAGTTGTGCTTTACTTTTTTTATTTCGCTTTTCATTTGCAGGTTTACTGCTGGAACGAAAGTCATGGGTGCCAGTTTTCGGGCACCATGGAAGACATGCTTCGACACTACGAGACTGAATGCACCTTCCACTTAGCGGAATGTTTACGATGCGGCGAGCCAGTCCTGCACAAGGAACTGGCCGGGCACTACGTGGCAGGATGCAGTGTCACTGGCTCTACAGCCGGCCCTGGGAAGACTCCATCGAAATCTAGAGCCCTGACCCTGGAGGACGTCACTGCTGCCTTTGAGGAAATGAAGTCGCTCTTGAATGACTCCAACAGCGACGAGCTGCTGCCTGTGATTCAGAGTCAGGTGAACGAACTCAAGGAACAAGTCGGGAAACAAGAATCCACGCTCGCCGAGATCACTCGCGAGGTCGGGGAACGCGTAAGGTCCCAAGAGGCTCAAGTCGCGGCGAGTACGTCATCGTCCACGTTCCAGCTGGAACGTGCTTCTGGGCGGGATCGCATCAACCAGCATGGCAAGTCGGCGTCAGAGAACCTGGTAACGCCACGAGAGCTTGGCAACTTTCCGAATTTGCCGGCAGACGTACTGCTGGGCATGCGGAAAACTTCGGGGGAGGACTATCCGCAGCATTTCATTGAGATCTACGGTGGCTCGACAGTTAAAGGTAGTTTATACCTAAGAACGCAGTCCTCGAAGATGCGTACGTGGAGGGAAGTTTTCGGAAACATAAGATATTGCCTCGACTTCATAGACGCTGGTTATATGATATATGCGGGCGACTCGAGGATTGCACAGATCGCAGTGTTGCCCACGAGTGATGCTTACTTCACAGTTGAAGTCTGTAATTGTTATAACTATATTCGTGTACGTATTAAGTTTGAAGGGTTATTTGGAGACTCATGTGCGGCACCTTTTTTTTACGTCAAAGTGTACTGCTGGAGAAGATTGCGCATGGTTTCGATGGCTTGCTACGAATGGGAGTGCGTCTGTAAACATATTGAAGACACTCGCGCACATTGTCACTACGAATTTCGTTTCCCAAATGACTGCGACGACTCAAATGATTACATCAAAGACGCAAATATGATATTCGAAATCGATATGTCACGCAACTTCACGTGAAACTTGCAGCGATTACGAGGCACTTGAATTTGCAAGAGTTGCGCTTCAGTGGTCGTGTCTTCTGTTTCATTCGTTGGCTCAATAGTTTCGTGCGTTAGAGTCCATGCGACAGCGAAACGTCAACATTAAGTCAAGAGTTTATTTGCTCGTTTGTTTTTCGCCTAAAACAGCTTGGTTCATACCTACAAGGAGAATTGGTCACACTGCCATCGGTACGAATGGTGCTGCTATCGCTTCGTTTTTTTTTTCATTTTTAGAATGGAGTTTTACGCCTGCTTTGTGAGAGAGAGAGATAATAAAATGAGGGAAAGACAGGAATGTTAAACAAAAATTGGGGCATCCTATTCGCTGCCGTGCACTAAGGAAAATAGGGAATAGAGAAGGAAGATGAGGAAAAAAGGCGATGGGCAATTTTATTTAGCCTGATTGGCGAAGTTATTATTCAAGTGTCAGGCTCAAATAAAGTATTTGCAATGAGTTACCGCTTCTCATTTATTCGTGTTCTCCTAAAATGTAACTACCTTATTTTGCATTCTCAGAATTCATTTTAATAGACCATATATATAATTCTGCAAACTGTCAAAATGTCACTGAGGCAGAGGTACGCATGTTGAAACATATGCCTGTGCTACTTTAAAAAACGTTATAATTGCGTGCTCATTTTTTTTGTTTATAAAAAAGCCCGCGAATAATGAAAAAGAACACGCGAATATGCTCCCATTCGTAAAAGAAAGTAGTTTGGCCCCACCGCGGTGGTCTAATGGCTAAGGTACTCGGCTGCTGACCCGCAGGTCGCGAGATCCAATCCTGGCTGCGGCGGCTGCATTTCCGATGGAGGAGGAAATGTTGTAGGCCTGTGTGCTCAGATTTGGGTGCACGTTAAAGAACCCCAGGTGGTCTAAATTTCCGAAGCCCTCCACTACGGCGTCTCTCATAATCATATGGTGGTTTCGGGACGTTGAACCTCACATATCACACACACTTCATTTTGCTTTTGTACTTTTTTTCAAGCACTCGTGCACTAAATCATTGGTTGTGTGTCGAGTTTATTTTTACAGCGAAAGCTGTTATAAGATCACAACTCTAGTCACGCGCAGTTGTCCACCACCGCCTTTGTCCGTAACCACATCGCGCGAAATTAGGAGAAAAATTTACCCCTAGCATCAAATACACAGTGGGGTTCGAAACAGGGTTCTGCTGGGTGCCAGCACAGTATACCACTGAGTTATGCCGGTGCTTGTAACTTGTTGGCAGACCTAGCACCAAAGGCACAGTGGGGCTCGAGCCAGAGTTTGCTGGGTACCAGCCCAGTATTCTACCACTGAGCTACGCTGGTGCTTGTGACTTGCGGGCAAACTTGCCTTAAACAGGTTTGATGTCGGGTAAGCAATTGCGTTAATACGGCTTTTAAAGCGTTTTAAAACAGAGAAAGAACAACCTGTCGCTGCACAATGCGAATACCGTAATGAGTGGGTCGTCCAGTGCCCCAACCAATTACAAAAGCTTTTTTTGAACTTTTTATTTTCCAACATATCATCATTAGGGATGCTGAGGGCCGGGGTCAAAAAGCCTCTTCACGGGCTTGACTAGGACCGCGACCCAGTACAAAGTGGCAGAGATAGGGGAGTGTACATTATAGTATAAATTAAATCGGACAACAACTATGTCGCTCGGTTAGATCTGTAAAGGAATGCATAATAGTACTGTAAATAATGCATAAATATTTACATATAAACATATATAGACAGAAAATGCAAAGGAAACAGATCGAAAAATAAACCTTTAAAACAATGTACCAACTTCAGTTTTGATAATCGCATAAAAGATCAATGGAAGTGTACAAATGAAAAAAAGAAATACAATGGCATTACACAGGTAGGACAAAAACGCATCTTTTAGCAATATTTTTACAGTGTTAGTTGATTCAGATGGAACGGCAATAGAAAGCACAGCATCTCCTTGCCGTAGTTCGTGCGCGTGTGTGGAAGAAACCACGTGTGAACATGACGAGTGTTGAGCTTGTTCTTGTTCCCCTATTAACTGTTGCGCATGCCCACTTCAGCCATAATTCCTCATCGTCGTCAGCCACTGCATGAACAATTGGCACGAAATTCCTTGTAAGTGTTCAGCTGATACCACGCTTCTCAGAAAAATGACAGAAAAATAGCGTGGCGAATGCCGGCCTACTACTACCCAAGTGTGCTTGCAGTAGTTACCCAATGGGTGTTTTGAAAGACTCAGAAATGCCACTCCTTTAGCTTTCGCCGTGACTGTTCTGCGCCTTCCGTGGAGGCTGACGTTTTTTGTTTTTTGTTATTCGAGCCGCTGAATATAACTGGCATTTAGTGCAACAATTAATATTTGCCACCGTGGGAGATGTGCGGTTTTCTTTCACGAGTGTCGCGTCTGAGCGTGTTACGCTCCGTACAGTGCTTCGAGTATGCGCCCATTGCACGAGCTCGTCGCGCGCCCGATACTGCATCGCGCCTGAAATTCGGCACCTCTCACGCAGAGCCGTGTTCGCACGGCAGGCGTCACACACCTGTACAGTCGATATACTAATATATGTACAGTACAGTACTAGTATATGAACAGTCATTGTACAAACACGACGCGAAACCAATCATAATAAAAAAAAACTTAGGCGAGCAGTTCAACTTGCTTCGCAACCCTTAGAGCTAAGCTAGCACAGCGAGTGATGTTTTGGTGGTACGGAGGACATCACTCTAACCTTATAAGACCTGTTATTGCTTTGTTTCTTTTATTGCACGCCGTTAAAATTCTTTCGCGACAGTACACGTCTGCTACTGCCAAAATGCTCAAAAAAAAACAATGTTTTTCATTGCTGACAACGTGGCACGTTGACTGAGTGGGTGGCTTGATTTCGTGGTGAATATAGATCATTGTGTATAATTAACGTATAACATTATCATGCTTACCTTGATAGGTCATGGAAAGTCCCAAGTTCCACCTATCGCCGCAAGGGGGCGAAGAAAATGAAAAGCTAAAGAAGAACCATAGTGACTCCATTCAAATCGACCCTAGGTGACGCCAAAAATCCACAAGAGGCACCATAGTAAGCTCAAAATTTAAAGCGAATAGAGCCATAATTTTAGCAAAAAACATCACTTTTTTCTAAACAACTGAACGGTAACATTTTAATTCCGCGTTGTGCGTAGTATTTATAAGAACACTAAATTTGTTTAGCGATCGTGGTGTCATGTGACTTCTGCTGTGGATTCTCTTATAGGTGGCGGCGATGAAGCGGAAAACATGCACCAGATCATCATCATCATAATAATAATAATCATCATCATCATCAGCCTGACTACGTCCACTGCAGGACAAAGGCCTCTCTCATGTTCCGCCAGTTAACCCGGCCCTGTGCTTGCTGCTGCCAATTTACACCCGCAAACTTCTTAATCTCATCTGCCCACCTAACCTTCTGTCTCCCCCTAACCCGCTTCCCTACTCTAGGATTCCAGTTAGTTAACCCTAATGACCAGCGGTTATCCTGTCTTCGCGCTACATGCCCAGCCTATGTCCATTTCCTCTTCTTTATTTCAACTATGATATCCTTAACCCCCGTTTGTCCCCTAATCCACTCTGCTCTCTTCTTGTCTCTTAAGGTTACACCTACCATTTTTCTTTCCATTGCTCGCTGCGTCGTCCTCAATTTAAGCTGAGCCCTCTTTGTAAGTCTCCAGGTTTCTGCTCCGTAGCTAAGTACCGGTAAGATACAGCTGTTATATACCTTCCTCTTGAGGGATAGTGGCAATCTACCTGTCATAATTTGAGAGTGCTTTCCGAATGTGCTCCACCCCATTCTTATTCTTCTAGTTACTTCAATCTCGTGGTTCGGCTCTGCGGTTATTACCTGCCCTAAGTAGACATAGTCTTTTACAACTTGAAGTGCACTATTACCTATCTCGAAGCGCTGCTCTTTTCCGAGGTTGTTGTACATTACTTTAGTTTTCTGCAGGTTAATTTTAAGACCCACCTTTCTGCTCTCCTTGTCTAACTCTGTAATCATGAGTTGCAATTTGTCCCCTGAGTTACTCCGCAATGCAATGTCATCGGCGAAGCGCAGGTTACTAAGGTACTCTCCATTAACTCTTATCCCTAACTGTTCCCATTCTAGGCTTCTGAAAACATCATGTAAGCACGCGGTAAATAGCATTGGGGAGGTTGTGTCCCCCTGCCTTACATATGCACCATATAGAGGAACGCATAAGGTTAGGAGGGGAGACTCCCATAGGCCCCTGTGGCTGATTTAGGTTCGCAGCGCTTCAAATGGTCGTTGCGAACCTTCCCAGCTTCAGAGATGGGAGACCGCAGAAAAGGATGTCTCGAATGCCATTTTCTAGCGAATAGAAATATTATAGAGCCTCTGAGACCACTTCTATGTGCGTACTCGTCTCTGAGGCCACACTTTCATTTCTTTCAACGCGTCATTTGCATGCATAGATTAGCTTCGTGTAAGCTGCACCGCTAGAGCTGCAAGCGCACGATGCCAATGTGTGTCTATGTATACATTTTAATTAAAACATGAGAATCGTTGGAGGAGCGAATGCTTTAATTTTCAAATGATATTCTTGGTAAGTACAAGTCCACTTTGTTCATGTTTGATGTTAATGTTGAGACAGGCACGAAGAGAGATTCATTACACTGCACGACGTGGAATTACAGCTGCCATATCATGATTATAAATTACACGCAAGAAAATCAACATATAGGCAACATTATAAGAATACCCACAGAAGTGTAAAGCTGCTATAAACGCACACAACTACACACACACTGCACAAAGCGACACAGCGGTAGTTATCCCAGCATTTTACTCTGGCATGAACCGAAAAAAGAAAATGTTGGCTACATTTTCTTTCCCACCTTCGCGCTAATTTTCTTCTACACATTTTACATCGCTGAGTCGCGAAAAACAGTCACAAGCAGTTACGCCAGCAAAAACAAAGCCATTTTAGGTGTCATGCAAGCTGTTAAAGAGGTCGAAGTGTTTACTTAAAGATTACATCCTAGATTCAGCTAACAAACATTTTTCTAGATTTAACACTTCTGCCTTATCGCGCTTGTTAGAGCTTTCAGCAATTTACCAACGCCACCGGTAAAGGTACTAAGCACAGCTGCACTTTTCAAAAGATCTCACTCATGCAGTTAATTCGAATACATGTAGTGGCACAAAGAAAACCTAACAACGCGAGCGGCGACTCAATTTCTTGAGCCAAGCAACAATTTTTTTGCAGTCGAGCCACGCAGCACTCCAAAAAGCTTGTTTTCTTTTTCTTTTTTTTGAAGCAATCTGCGAAAATGATACGTGAAGTGAAGAACACTGAAATATCTCTGCGCCGAACAGCACAATGTCAGGAATGTTAGGTTAAGACTCGAATGACAAATGCAATACGCACTTTACAAAGTTTTCATGGCGTTCGTACTTGGCAGCAGCGAAATTAG